GATTTCCGTTCAGCCTCACAAAATATTGGTGGTTGTTTGCCAAGTGATCGTTCTTATTCTCTACCGACTGCTTGTGATTCAACCAAGAACTTTAGTGAGGCAAATTCTTCGGCTGTTTCATATCTGAGTCTCGGTTCTGGTATGGATTATTTTTCTCTGGTTTTCTCTCATCCTTTAAGATATGGTGTGAATTTTTCAGTTTGTCAAGATTTATGCTTGGGGGACTGTGCTTGCTTGGGAATTTTCTATGAAAATTCTTCTGGCTCTTGCTATGTGCTTGAAAATGACTTAGGCTCCATCATATTCAGTGATACAGTTGAAAATGATCTTTGGGGCTATGTTAAAGTACTTGTTGGACCTACTTCAACAGATTCCGGCGGCAACAATGGTTTCAGCAATCAAAGAAAAGAGTTTCCCATAGCTGCTATTGTGCTCTTACCTTTCACTGGGTTTTTTCTGTTAGCTGCTCTAGGATTTCTCTGGTGGAAAAGATTGATACTAAACAGAACTGGAGAGATAAAATTAGGCCACCTAAACTCAGTTTCTTCAGGAGATCTGGATGCCTTCTACATTCCAGGCTTGCCACAAAAGTTTGATTATGAAGAGCTAGAGGTGGCTACTCATAATTTTAAGACCAAAATAGGGTCGGGTGGGTTTGGTGCTGTATACAAAGGTACACTTCCCGATAAAACTGTTGTCGCAGTCAAGAAGATAACAAATCCAGGCATCCAAGGAAAAAAAGAATTCTGTACAGAAATTGCAGTAATAGGAAACATTCACCATGTCAATTTGGTCAAATTGAGAGGATTTTGTGCCCAAGGGGGACAACGGTTTTTGGTGTATGAGTATATGAGCCGGGGCTCACTGGACCGAACCCTCTTTGGGAGTGGGCCGGTCTTAGAATGGCAAGAGAGATTTGGTATAGCACTTGGAACAGCTCGTGGGCTTACATACTTGCACAGTGGCTGTGAACATAAGATCATTCATTGCGATGTCAAACCAGAAAATATTCTCTTGCATGATCATTTTCAGGTAAAGATCTCTGATTTTGGGCTCTCAAAGCTTCTTAGCCCTGAACAATCCAGTCTGTTCACAACAATGAGAGGCACTCGTGGCTATCTCGCACCTGAATGGCTTACTAACTCTGCGATTTCTGAAAAAACTGATGTTTATAGTTTTGGGATGGTACTGCTGGAATTAGTGAGTGGAAGAAAAAATTGCTCGTTGAAATCACAAAGTCATAGCATCGATGTTACCAACAGCGGTGGAGGCAACTCCTCGTCCTCATCAGTGACGGGATTGGTTTACTTTCCACTATTTGCACTAGAGATGCATGAACAAGGTAGATACTTGGATCTTGCAGATCCAAGACTTGAGGGGCGGGTAACAAATAACGAGGTGGAAAAATTAGTGCGTGTTGCTTTGTGTTGTGTTCATGAGGAGCCAGCACTGAGGCCAAGTATGGCCACTGTTGTTGGGATGTTGGAAGGTGGGATTCCTTTAGGTCAGCCAAGGGTGGAATCCTTGAATTTTTTGCGCTTCTATGGCCGCAGATTTACTGAGGCTTCCATGATAGAAGAGGAAAATGGGAATAGTGATTTCATGCTATACCAACAGGCAAATGCTTCTCAAAGTAGTACAACTGGCTCAAATACTTTCTTTTCTTATGTCTCTTCACAACAAATCTCTGGCCCTAGATAATTTGAAAGGTTGTGACTTGTGCGGTTCGTGTATAGTAATTGTTAGTGAATGCGAGGGTGTAAGGTGTTTGTAATTGGGAGCTAAAGTTAGTCAGTATTCTCTGAACAAGAAATGAGAATATTGTTGTGTGTCTCTTCAAAAAATCCAAATGCAAGGTGGATGGCTTCCTGTATTTTTATTCGGCTTGTATAAACTATTTCCTTGAGTAAATATTAGGATCATCTGGAAATCAGATGTTTGTTTTGCCTCTTGTTTTTTTATTCTTTTTGAACTTATTGTTTTGTGTACTATTGCTAGACCTATAGTGTTAGGACGGCTGAAATTTTCTAGGGTGCCACCTGCCACGTTGCTAATTGTTGCTCTAGGTGGCTTGCAAACTATGTGGTTCCCATGCTGATTTGTTCTTTGGTAGTTTAGTTACATTTTTTCTTTTTTGCGTAGGCTAGGCTCTTGATTTACGGACCTCCTTCCAGATCATGTTCTTTTTCTTCCTCTAGTAATTTCTTGGCTGGAGTGGACTTTGAAAGGAAGGCGTGAATTATGAATGGAAATGCTTATTAACTTTGGTCTCCTTCCTTGTATATAAGATGATTGAAAGTTTGTTGTTTAATTTTGTCATGCAACTGTATCTTTGTCTTTGGTTCAGCTGTGACAATATCTGGGTCTGTTCAGGGTACGGTTTGGCTATTTGGCATTTAATGCTTTTCAGGTAAATTCTTTAGCCATTTGCTTCTTAGCCTACTTCAAGCTGGTAGTTCTGACTATACCAGGAACATTAATTGCAATTTATTGCATTCTTTTTGACAATGCCTCCTTTTTGCTCAATGACAGTGTTAAGATATTTGGCCAATTGTGAGGAATTATAGTATTCCATAAAATTTTATTTCTTTTTTAATCATATTTGATATGATCTGAAGTTGATAAATACCAATGACAAACAGTAAACCTATTTTATCCCATAACACTGAGGAGGTTGTCTGGCCCCTAAGCTCTTTCAAACATTGTAGGGATGTATTCTGGACATATCAGTCAGCTATTAACATGCATTTCACCCATGCTGCAGAATGGATCTATATCTGAATACTTATTTGGTTTAGGTTACATTTTGATTAGTGAGATGATAATCTATCGCTCTTTTACTCCTTTTGATTTCTTGTTGTCGCCTGAAGCCAAGCCTTGCATAAGCTAGGATTTTGGAAATTGACCATTTTCTACTTTTAAAATTCTGGAAAGGGATTGAATACAACCAATACTTGGAGTTTTTGTTATTATTTTAATTGATTTGAGCAGCATCTTTTTTTATCAAATTTTGTTATCTATGATAATTCTCTGGCGATCCATATGGCAGCTTGTCAAGAATACTTTCCTGAAAAATGAGCGCACATTCTTGAGAAAGATCTTGGAGATGGTGTTGGCACTGGCATTAGAAAGGACAATGTCAAAACAAGGAATACTGAGCTCTTATGTTTGTAAGGTCAAAATCTATGTCACATTTACTATGTGGTGTCCTTTCTCTCTGTGCAGTATGTATTTATGCTTGGGCTTTCTTAACATTTTTATTGAATGGATTCTGCTATTTGAATGCACTCTCCTCCTGGCATTCACAAAAGGATGAAAGGAAAGCAGCGGAATTGGAGCCCCTTGTTCTGTGATTCATAGATCTTGACATTTGAAATCTCACAAGGCCTTTGTGTATTGCAGATATACTGGGGGCATGGTATTAATGGCATTGAATCAGCATCAAATTTATATTTTGGAAAGCATCCATCTCTCCTGAGTTTGGCAGAGTCTGCAATGCTTGCTGGACTCATACCTGCACCAGAGCTCAGATCACCACTCAGGGATAAGAGAAGGTTTTAAACTACTGCTTCACCAAAATTAATCCTGTTTGTACTAATCATTCTCTCTTTCTAAACTTTTCAAGTGCTTTCTGGTTCAAGCTGTATGCTTGGAGTTGGATGTTTGCCTTTCGCTTTAATTTATTTGATTTCAAACCTTTATCAAAACAAAAGAACAAAAAAGACAACCTAAAAACTCACTTCTGTCTTCATGAATGGTAGTGGCAAGACCTTCCAAGCCAGAGTTTTGAAAAGGATGGTGGAAGTCGGCTCTCTTGATATTGAGACGGCACTTTTGATAGTGAGACAGCCTCTTTACCTGCATCTTAATAGGCTGGAAAACACAGATGGACTGTCATACCTGTTTTCTTTCTCTGGGTTGGTAAGTCAAAATCTTCATTTTCGGTCCATCTGTTAGATGACCATCAATTGCAAATAAATAAAGTCAATTCAAAAACTCGCCTAAGCATACATCATATAACATTTTTTTTTGAAAAGTGTGTATCTCGTATAACATTAATGTGAAACTATAATAAAATTTGTCTAATTTGCTTGATCCACTAGCTCTTGAACATTTCATTAATCTTCTCATATTGTATTTCAACTATCTGATTGTTTCTATGAAGTTTCAGTACCACATAGCAGTCACTCATTGGCTCAGTTCTTATCTCATAGGTTGTTTGCTTGTTTGTTTCTTAGGGACTTGGAGAGAACGACAAACTCAATCAAGCAGGTAAGGAATCAACATTCGAAGGTACATGGGACTGGGAAAGAGAAAGCAAAATATGGGAAGTATGTGAAGAGATGGAAAGATGGGCCGTGAAGGTTCGGGGTCCGTGCAGAACTTCAGTAAAAGCTTCTCGTTTGAAATGAAAAACAGACCACTTGCCTATATATGATTAAGGCTTGAAGTGTTTCTGGCAATGGAAGGAATTCACTCACTATTCCTTTCCGAAGAACTACAAATTCCCATATTGAGTTCCATTGCAACAAATATTCCTTGATTGAAACTGATAGTGAGTAACTTCAGATTAAAAGCTTTCCCATCTTGACATTGGCAATTATGCCACTTGAATACCGATACATTGCTGAAATTGAAATGGATAAAGATAAAGGAATGGGTTTCTGATTAGTTGGTTTTGGGTGGTATAATCAGTATACATCTTGTTGATCTTTCCAAATTTGAGCTGACATTGACAGTGGAATCTGTTGGAAGATCTTTTCTTTTATAGATACGAAAGTAACTGTTTCAATTGTTCTCAGTTTTGTCATGTTTGTTACATATGACAATCTGTATTCTGAAGCCTATTCCCAATTATAAATTGTTGACCCGAATCTGTGTTCGTAGTTTTTGAATCTGTTAGTGTAGAGATGAATATAGAGTGATAGAAATAAGTGTGCATTGCAACAATGGGATGGAACTTATTGTGAAACATTGGGTGAATGACAATCGAAATTACCCTGAGCAAATCCCGAGATAACACATCAGGAATTGATTTAGAACTGAGGCAAGTCCTAGAACAATTCTTTGCATGAATCTAGTGGTTATTTCAAGGCATATTCAAAGACAACTTTCATTGAAACTACCGTCACTGTGGGAGCTTGTTGAATTTCCGGTATCGGTACTCGGCAAAAGTTTTGGTTGAATATTTAGCTGGGTTTTGCTCGTTCACAAGCTCTGGAAGTGGTCCGATCATAGCCTCATGTGGAGGTGCGCAGAACACTGCCCATGACATCCGAGTGCGGTCTTTGTTAACTACACTCCTATGAAGAACACTCTTGTATTTCCCATTGCTCAGAACCTGGAAAGACAAACAACACCAAAAGTATGTTAACTTTAGCATTTTCACACAACAGACGAAAAAAGAAAGGAAGAAAAGGGAGGGCAATTTAATATACCTCAATTTGGTCGCCAACATGGACAAAGAGAGCATTAGGCAAATAATCAACGGCAAACCAACTGCCATCTTTCCAAACCTGAAGGCCTGGAACATCATTAGGGACAAGCAAGGTGAGTGCAGACATGTCTGTGTGGGGTTCAACTCCTAGGGCTAGATGTGGTTGAGGGCATGGTGGGTACATGTTTATTTTCATTTCCAGTTCTATTTCTTGATCTCCCAAAGGGGTCGCCAGAGACTTTTTGTCCAGACCTAGCCCCTCAGACAGCAGCCCCAACAGCTCACCTGTTATTCTTAGCATTTCCTTGCTGTATTCTTCGTTGACTTCCCTGTGTTACACAGATTGTTAGCCATTGTTAAAAATTGAACTAAAACACACACACACACACACCGCAAAAACTAACGTAATGAATTTTTTATTAAGATAGGGCAGTATGTTCATAATCACTTGAGTTGGTCACGTTAGGCTAAGCCTTTCATTCTCAATAGTTAAGTCCTTTCTTTAAGAAAACGTTGTAAACTCCTAGAATTACTATTAAGTAAAAGACACACACAGTTTTGCTTAAGCTACCAAACAGCAACTCTTATCGAAAGTAGCAAACTGACAAACATTTCCATTTTAAAGCTGCCAACAAAACCGTGGATTCTTTGGCCAGACTCGGAAATATTGCAGAACAATCTGATTTACGTTGCCTCTATTGTGCTTTGCAGATTTTTTTTTTTTTGGGTTACTGACTCTTTGGGGTTTCAAGCCCACACGTTTTGTGAACCCTATTTTGGAGGGCTCTTCCAAAATACCAACTCTTATCTAATCAACTGGGTCGATCACTCCAACTAAACTAATAAAGTAGTATTATAAACAAAAGAAAGTTCAATTGACCACGGTGCTATGATAACAAAGAAACATAATCTCTTGAGACCCTGGCGAGCCAGTAACTTGAACAAATAATCTAAGGAAAATATTTAAGCAAGCAAAGAATAGTTAACGATGTTGGATACCTGTAAGAAGGAGGGTGCTTGGGCCATATATCATGGTTGACCTTAGAAGGAGGAGACATGAGATGAAAAAAGTAGTCGACCCACTCAACCTTCTCTTCAAGGTTCTTAGTCATCTTTGTGCCATACCCTTCAAACTTGCCTGATGAAGGATCATTTGCATAAGCCTCCTTTTCCTTCTGCGGCAGAGCAAAGAACTCCTGGCCCACTTGTTGCAGCCGTTTGATCAATTCAGGAGATAACCCATGGTCAGTCACCAAGAGAAACCCCCATTGGCTACATGCCTCCGACACCTCTTTGACAAGGACATCACGAGGCTGTGAAAGGGAGATGACAGGCACAGTAACCCCTTCGATGGGTTTGGTATTCTCTGGGCGCTCGTGGGCAGGGCGGATGAATTGAGCAGGGACTTCATTGAGGCCGCCGAAGGCTAGTGCTTGCACTCTCTCAACATCCATTGAATCCCTTATCCCGGAAAATGCTATCAAAGGTTTAAATGATGTTGGGGTTTATGACATTAACAAACGTGAATGCGGTTCCATTATATAGTTGAGTTGATGAAGTCATGAGCGGTCCACAGGGACAAAAAGAGTAGTTGGCTTACCAGCGAACCGCGTGCCATGAAGTCTAAGTGTACCTAACAGTCACAGTAGTTTCTACAGATGTGGAAGCACGATCTCCTATTGCCCAAATGGAAAAAACATGGGCCGAATTGGTTGCCTTCTGGCGTTGAGCTTGTATGACCTTGAGCTTTGTATCACCATAATTTGGAAATATTAATATTTAGGCCTCGTATATAGTAAATATAATCACTAGCCATAAAAGGGATGGAGTCCAAAAGAGACTCCCAATTTAGATTCCATAATTGCTGATACTAATCACATGGTTATAAAGCATGTTACTTGCAATAAATGTGATCAAAGCACCAACAAAAACACTATCATTCGATATCAATGCCGGTGAACTCGGTGCCTGGGTTTCATCTTTCTCTTATCGGACGGGGAGAATTCAGACTTGACTTTGAACAATGTGTTTGGTTCCAGCTGATAAGGCATTATTTGCCGACAACATGGAAATAAAAGCACGATTAATTATGTTCAAGTTTTGCCTTCTTAAGGGAGAAGTGTCAACCATTATATCATGAAAGAGGTATTCCTAACATAACTCAAAACTAGGGGCGTTTCCCTCTATCTTTCCTACCCATGAGTCAACGTTATTTCCCATCTTGCTTTCAGGTCAGCCTGAGAAAACGAAATGTTGCGCAAACCAAACCAGGAAGAGACTTTGGAGTTGGGAGGGAGGGAGGGTAGGTACTGGGTTACCAATCAACGACATAGCAGCACTTGTCGAAGTTAAAACTCCATAAAATCAATGTTCCTCCAACCGTTGTAACATCGAAAACCAATGAAAATTGGATTAAACCAATGTAAGTCCACATGTTTACAAACAAAAGCAAGATCAGTAAATCTCCAATGGAATACAAGGAAAATATGCTGGGAGCCTTGGGATTGCTTAATGAGCATGTCCATGACTTTGTCTCTAAGCAACTGTCCTATCCAAAGGATTTGCAAACCTATCAACAAGATTGAATAAAATTTAATGATTTTCTTCCTTAGGATGAGTCAATGTCAATGTTAACGGTCCAAGGTCGTACAAGTTTATACATAATCAGGCCTCGGCTCAATATCTTATGCCCCAATGAACTTGTCCGGTCAGTGGGCATGATGGGCCAGCCCATATACTGTTAGATGGTTCGGTTATTTCTCATTTTTTTAATAAGATTAATTTTGTCATTTTATTTAAAATTATAGATCAAATTTATTGTAGAATATATAAATATTGTAGAATATATATTTGATGAATTATTATAGACATTATCACTTTAACTACAAAGTGTTAACTCTTGAATATGTAAAAGTAAAAGTTTAAAATTCTTTTAAAATAAATACTTTAAATTATAAATATTTATTTTTTAAAATTCTTAATTTTTAAATTTATTTATTAATAATATGATAACATTTGATTAGTTAATAACGTATAGAATTTATATGTAGATAGTACATTAAATATAAACTTTTTATCATATATTTTTAAATTATTACAATTTTATCATTGTACATTTTAATTTGATTCAAAAAAATATCAAAAATAAAAATATTTTGTAGAATATTATTTTATTTTTTCACCAAATATTCAAAATATTCTTTTACTGTTAATTTTTAATCTATTTTAAATTAAATTAAAAATATATAATGATAAAATTAGGCATATCACGTTGAGATAATTTTTATTTTTTATTTCACAAAATTTTCCGTACCACTTGGACAGGTAAATTTCCATAAGCTCATCGAATCATAAGAAGACACATACACAGAAAACCTCGATGAGCCAATCATCATCAAGTCGTCCACAAACGAACTTCAAAAGTCAGCGAAACGTTAAAAACACGGCGATAAAAACGTCGCACTTTGTCTCTATAATTTCTCCGCTTCTTGGAAAAGAAGAGAAGACCCTGGAATTTTTCTCATGGCATACGTTGAGCGAGGTCTGAATCTTTTCTCTCTTTTCTCTAGTTTCTTTTTTTTTTGAATACAAAATCTTTTAATTTGATTCGAAATCTATTGCTAGTTGTTATTCTTCTTTCTTATAATTATAAGTTTCTTTTTGGATGTGGAAATCTGATTTGTGGGAACCCTAGTTGGTTACGGGAGAAGAAGAGGAATGAAATTCCATATTTATATAATCGATCAGATGATGGTGGATCGTAATTTTTTGTGAGTTGATGCAAATTGAGTTTTTAGTCTGTGATTCGATGATGAATTTTGATGAGAATTGTTCAAGTTTTGAACAATCTTGAAATGTTGGCCTTTTCTAATATGAATTTGATTGTGTTATTCTCGTTATGCGGTTATCATACAGCTGAACCGGAGTTTTCAGACTGTCTTGGGCTTTGTTTGACTATGGTGAAAAAGCCCTTCCCCCCTCCCTTTGTTTTGTAACGTTGAAAATCTGTTCCAATTAGAAATTTGGAAGCCATTGGACATTGTGGTTGCAATCCAGTGGAAACCACAGTTTTTAACCCAAGCATAATGCTCTAATGACAGTGTTTGTAGTGCTGTTCATTGGAATCAGCGCAGTTCATCCCTAAAAATTTCTATGCTTTTGTAAAATTCTTCTCTTTGAAATTTCTACCCTTTTTTTTTCTTTTAAAGACTCAACTTTTTATTTAAGGAGAGCC